AAAGAAGACTAGTCAACAGACAGCTTCACTGAAAGCCATTCTCTGCTCACAAGAAATGCTGCTGCTGATGGCGGGGAACACCCGCAGAAAAGGCATCGGCGGAACATAACCTTAAAGACTGCTTAGAACACCTTGGTTTCCGCCAGGTGTCACTCTAAAGGCTTGATAGCCACACTTAAGGCCCTATCTGGAGTTAACTTTCTCCCTAGTCCTGGTAAGACACAGGAGATTTTTGGCCGCGGCATCATCTGTATTCAACCTCATGGCTAGCGTCAAGCATACTTCCTTATGTTCCTTCCAGACGTCGTTGATTGTCCGCCATCTCGCTCCCCGCGTGGGTTGAGCCCCGTCCCACTGTCATGCACTGAACATGCCACCCACATTTCGTCGAAAGCATCCGCGCACGAGAGGGGAAACGTATGATTAACCCGCCGTCGGGCTCAGACTCGTGAGGCCAGCCCCAAAGCTCGGAATATCCGTGGGACGCACCAAGAGAATTCTAGGAAAGGGACGCCATGGTTACCGGAGGAGGAGGAGCTCTTGGTGAAGTTAAAGAGGGATCAGAGTCTCCGTTGGTCAGATATGACAAGATTGTTCTCTGAACAATATCCAGGAAGAACTCAAGGTTCTATTCAAGTATACTGGAGCACGAATCTCAGCAAGAGATCGTTATCAAAGTTTTCATAAACTTCTGCCGCGATCAATGTGGCGGGTATGTCAATACTCCAATTGGACTTTACCCAGTCACGCTTGCGCTTTCGACTTATGTAAGCCATTAGACTTGCTTATTCCTCCACCGTATCCCAGGTCGGTCATTTCTACATGGTTTGTAGGCCACACTCCCCAGTTTACATCTTCGGAAACCCCGCGAATCAAGTATTGGCTCATCTATCTGTATGTTTGCATGGCATTCACCTGGTTTTATTCTATCTCAGCTATGCCTGCAGCCTGGTGGGCAGAGTATGGCAGAAGCGACGCCTGAACGGGTTACACCACATGAAACATATCTCCCAATCAATTCGTGATATGGCAGCGATGTGCTGTTCCTCCGGAGGTACAGCTCTGCTTTTGAGTGGGGTAGTCCTTCTCCTAAATAAGTGTTCATAAGCCTTTCTAAGGCCAAATTCCGAATTGTCAACGCAAGCTTTCGACATCCTAAAATCCCACTACCGCGCACCCAGATTCAAGATGCCACGCAAAGGACGCAAAGCCGCAAAATTGTGGTCGCTCCACCCAAAGCTTCATGACGATGTAGCACAGTTGTTAAACGAGGAAGGGCTTCAACTAGACTTCTTCGACGCTGATGATGAGGAAACCAACATCGAGGAACAGGACACGAACGTTATGGGCCGATTCATATGCTGAAACAGCGGATGTCACTCCAGCGGTTGGTCGAGCAAAAAGATCGCGATTACAATTCGCATGTACCCCCGACGGTTATATAATGCGCGAGTGTATCACCAGCGATGCAAAAATTGCAGAGCCGTTGGTTGGCCAGTCCTGGATCATGGGTGCTATGCGGAAAGAGTGACATACTGGCTCAAAAAATGGAACGGAATTGAGGTACAGCGACCGCATTTTTCTGGGCAGAGCAGAGGTCCCCATGATAGTGAACTGTGTGAGGGATGTCAAGCTGGTCATTGTCCCAACTCGAATGAAGGATTAGCATCGGCACTGGCCAGGTAAGTTTCGTACTACCGTTTCTTATACACTAACTAACCATTCTAGCATGTGGATTGGATTATGGATATATCCAATCCATACTACCTAGTCGGGTGACCTCTAGTATTTAGATTACTACCTATCTTTTTTAGTATTCTAGCCACACTACTAAGATATCTATATATTCTATTATATAATATGATATATTAACTATTAGATGACCTAAAATAGGCTTAATTAGGGAGGTAGGGTGCCCCCTAAGGGTAAGATAAAAGATAATGCAGAGATATATATCTTACCACTACTATCCTAATCACCATCCTTTAAATCCTAAAATCTACTATAACTCTAGTTTCTCTTAGTAGATCTAATGTTTTTATTTTATAAATAGATAGATAGGACTATTCTCTATCTATAGATATAAAAATATTCTCCTATCTACGCCTAGGTTAGGTTAGATAAGCTTATCAGCTTCCAGAGGCCCTATATCACATGATCACATCATTCACATGCACCCAATGGGTTATCCATATCCATGTGGATTAGGCAGGTTCAACCCATATCCATATGGGTTGGATCAGGCCTACCTAGATCCAACCCAAAGTGTGGATTGGGCGAGTTGGATATGGATTTGTGGATTGGGTCAGCCAGTCTAGGTAGCTACCCCTATCGCACGACAATTCTCATCCAGAAGGCCTCATCCAGCAGTATAAGATCCCGATAGTTAGAGGTAGATTAGAAAAGAATCAAACAGTCAAGACTCTCCCTTGCGTATGCGGTTTACTAAGTGATTGGGAAATCTCATATAGTTCTAAGCTTTCCAACACAATGGTGTGTGTTCGCAGAAGCAGAGTCCCATCAAAAGGGCCCGAGCCCCGACTGAGACTATCTAAGTCTTAATCTTCACCACCGCTGATTACAATGAGTTGCCTAATCAGGACATGAATACAGCTTCAACCATCACCCATTAGTATGATTTCCATTGTTCAATATTGTTGGGAGTTCTAGATAAAGTCTTAATCTTCACCACCGCTGACTATAATGACTTGCCTAATCAGGATATGAATACAGCTTCAACCATCACCCTTTAGTATAATTTCCATTATTTGATATTGTTGGGGGTTTTAGCTACGTCATTTGGATAATCATTATAGAATTGAGCAATGTTATTCACCTTCTTTATAAAACCTTATTTATTCACCTTCTCTACTTTGTATAAGCAGCGGCTCTTCACTGTGAAGAGGGACATTTAAGGTAGGGCTCTTCAGCACTATTCATATTATTCACTTTATTAAAGTAACAATAGTCACTATTCTAGGTGTTGCTGCTAGTGCCAACCTTGAAAGGGAGAAGCAACCTTCCTTCTTTTACCTACTACGTCTTATACCCCTATCCATATTCTCTACTACATACTGATTTTACATTTATACCCAGCAGGCCATACTGCCTCCATTCTATCTCTAGCATTCTTGTGTTCCTGCTATCTCCAGAACAGAGCAAGTTAGGTATGCCGGCTTCGGATGATCAGGCACGTCTTTTAAGGGATATTTCCCTCGTGCAAAGGGTGACTGACTATCAATCAGGCCCGATCTGAACTGTCAGACGGCCATATGTTTCGCTATAGGGGTGACTATTGGCCATGCCTTAATAGCAATGTGGGCGCATCTTCCAATGACTGCGTCCTTGATTGCATCAGGAAGCCGGAGCAAGACAAAGGCTTTAGGAAGGAACCTACCGGTAGGCAAGGCGATAGTATATTCTTGATTCCCTGTGGCTATCTCTGTGTTTCTCAACGATCTTACTAACTGTTCTGTGAGGCGATTAGGCATCCGCAACCTGGCATACAGCATTACAACTTACATATCTGTGTGGCAAAAGAACCTTTCTTCGAAAGTTGATAAGCTGAAAGATATAACAATTGAAGTCCCTGGTCAAGAAGATACAGGACCTCCGCCACAGGCATTGAGGACAACCAGACTGCTCATGTAAATAGACATGGCACAGCCAGCCAGGACGGCCTTGGAACCTGATAATGGTGACGTGGGAGCCAGTGCTGAGGTAGCAGCAATAACAGTAATGGCATGATGTTCATCAAAACAACACGACATCATGCCTATGACCTGGGACCACGAAGCGGACGTCATGGGTTAGGTTTTATGGTTAACACCTGGACCCATCCTGGAGAATAGAATCCCAGTTCAACACCAGCTGCACAAGACTACAACAAAAGCTATCAAACATCAGGGGTCCTGCTGACCCACAGATCTATAGAGCAGCTCTTTACTGCAAACACAATTCATGGCTTGTCTTGCTGCATCCTCCTGACCTATGCTGATCAAAAAAAGGCTTTCATTGATGCAATGCTAGGGTTTAGGTTTGTCTGACAGTCTTTCTCTTGCTGTGCCCAAGGCCAATCACTTGGGTCACAATCACATACACCAGACTGCTAATAGTCTCAGTCCTGGCAACTACAGCAACCCTATCACCTCCAACAGCAATACTACCAACAATAATATCACTAATGCCAATACCCTCAAGTCTAATCATGGTATCACTCCAAAAATTCAGAATCCGTCTACATCAAGTCCAAACACGAGATCCTCATGCTGGAGGGATGTGAGATGGTCAGTTAGACCTTGAGACAGCAGTCTATTCTCCCAGACCTCAACAATTGGTTAGTACCATTATATGAACCACTTCCACCCAGCATGCACTAACTGTTACTTGAACTTCTAGGTGTCTCATGATCTCCTAAGACCAATACAGGATACACGTGCTGTTTGCATCCTGGCACCAAGATTACCTGGGGATTTTCCCAGAATTCACAAACATGACAACCATCAAGCGTCCCATCACCTCCAACAGCAATACTACCAACAATGGCATCACTAATGCTAATACCCTTAAGTCTAATCATGTATTCACTCTGAAAATTCAGAATCTGTCTATACCAAGTCCAAGCCCGAGATCCTCATGCTGGAGGGATGTGAGATGGTCGGTTAGATCTTGAGACAGCAGTCTATTCTCCCAGACCTCAATAATTAGTCAAATACTGAGGCGGCTAATCCGTGCAGCTTCTGCAAAGACAATAAAGGTGCTTATACACCAGAGCTTCGTCATCTGTTCATAAGTACGATTGGCAAAGCTGAGGAGCGTCCGACAATCCCCTCAGCAGATATTCCTTGATGATGTGCTCTCAGATGAAGACACCAAGATGAAGAGTGAGACTGCAGAGATACTCAGAGGGCTTAGGGGAAATTATCTAGCCGTGCATGATCTGACTGGTGCAAGTATGCTCAGTGCCTCACTGTATTACCTTCCTCCTGCCTGCTATATGGATGACTTTGGCTGCTCTTGCTAATCTGTTTGAGTCCAGACTACAGAACTTCCAGACCTCATTTACGCTTGATCGGTTCGATCTTAAGACCTGGGGGAACTGCCTGAAGTTCTTTAAGCAACCTGACGACTTCGGGAAAACCCCTAAAGAGGAAATCTGCATACCTGGCATGCGTCGTCCACTAAGCCCTTACCAGGCCTACGCGGCCTACTGGATGCTGACCACGGAGAAAACCCTGAATGGAGGATATCTCGCGGACGCGATGGGCTTAGGCAAGGTACACAGTCCCTCCGCCATCCAGGCATCATCAACCTACAACATGAATACTAACCCAGGCTTTCTTACCGGACGTAGACCCGGACCGCCATTGCACTTTGTGTTGTTAGCCGCTGGTTACAGGTAGCCACACAGGCTGTGGAGGAGTCACGCGCTGCTGATGACGGCAAACATCTCTCACTTGACGGCCAAGGGCCTGAGGATGTGTGCCCAAGCGCGGCAGATTTTCCCATATGCTGTCCATGCGTGCAGTCGGGCCCTACTGCCCGATACATATCGACCCGTGATGGCTTGAATTTGATTCTCGTCCCTCGTCGCCTCATTTCTGTGTGGGAGAAGGAGTGGACTAACACAGTTGAAGCACACCAATTACTGCGTATGACGCTGCTCCTTGGGCATAGTAATTCAATCAAGGGAATTCCCTTTGTTAAGGGTTATAGGGACAAGCGTGAGCTTATGATTACTGAGGTTGAACGGTGGGCCGCAGCAAAAGCTTGCATGAAGAGCTTAGATGAGAGTCGACATACAGAGCAAAATCAAGCAGATTTTGCTGCCTGTCAACTGGGCAAGGGTACCATTCCTAAAGACGCAGGCCGGTTTGTGATCCTCACAACTCCTCAAAGTGTTGAGAGGCAGGTGCTGCAACCCTTGACTATCAAAGAAATAGTCCCCACCCCTGCAAGTGGCCCGGGCTCCAAGCCTAAACAAGTTCAAAGAGTCAGTGTGCTCGGCGCGCGATTTGCGCGTGCAATCCGGGATGAGTGTCATGAGGAGAAGGGTGAAAAAGGAGGGCTTACTGTTGCTGTTCTTAAGGGTTTGAATTCGCCAGCTATATGGCTGCTAAGTGGCACACCATTTGAGACATCGCCTGGTGATATAGCCGCCTACATCGGTGTGCTGGAGACTGACAAGTGGGAGGAGCACCCAACACTGCGATACTGTACCTCTGAACAGATTTGGAACCTCGGTCGGCAATTCTCCAAGAAGGCAAATAAGCATGATGCTCAGCTAGGGCCTGTCATTCAAAAATTCAAACTGATCCTCACCACACTGGGGTTTATTCGGCGGACTGTTGACACCAGATGGTTTGGTGCATCAATTATCGAACTGCCTCCGGATAAAAAAGTTGATATGGATTGCCCCGTCCCAGGTGAATACCTTGATACAATCAGACCGATGGATTCCGACCTTTTGAGTGAACTGGATAGGATCCAAGTCGCCAAACAAGAAGCTCGGAAGGCAGGCAAGGAGCACAGAGGGAAACTTAGTCAAGCAGGTTTGCGGAAGTTAATACAGCTCCGAATCCTTACTAGCTTCCCAGGACTTGTGGATCTTGCTCCCCAGATAGGTGGTCTTGATAAGCTACCGTACTCTTGGAAGGATCTTGTTGAATGGTGTAAGGCTGAGACGGGATGTGCTATTGCAAAGAACCTAGCTATGGTTACAAGTAGGTCGTCGAAGTTCAAGCATCTGTGTGATATGGTCAGGGAGGGCCTTACAGATATAAATGGCCGACCGGAGAAGCTCTTGGTGATGACGAAGCATCCTGTCACGGTATACATCTTACAGCTGGTAAGTTCCTACTCTCTTTCCTGATCTATTGTTAGTGCGATTAATCATTGGTACTGATCTACCCATGTCTGGCACCCCTAGGCCTTGGCAGATGCGTTTCCGGATCAGTACGTGAAGTCCTTATTAGCAGCCGATAAGGATCGCCAGCTGTATGTGGATGCCTTTCAGAATCACGACACCGGAACTGAAGTCACTGAGGAAGGTGTGAAGATTCGAAGTCCAGGCATCCTTGTGTCCACCACTGGGGTCATTGGGACTGGCTATACCTGTACTCGTGCCTTCCGGGCCGTCCTCTTTGAGCCTGACTATCTGGAAGGTGTCGAAGACCAGGCGTTTGCGCGGATTCGCCGATTAGGCCAGAAGAATCCACATACATTCTGCTTCCGCTTCATCGTGCCAAATATGGAATATGAACAGCGGATCTTCACACGGCAAGGTAATCGCCGGAAATTAACAGCGTCGGCTGAGCAGAGCAGCACACTTCCGGCTAAACCCATCACTATGGAGGATCTCCGGGTTGACTTCCTGGCCCTAAATGGCGCCATTGATGCGTGATGGATCGCCTCTCTGGGTATTGTCGCCCCATTTAGCATCTGGCATCGGCATTCACATCCAAGTGCTGTTCTTAACTCTGTTCTGCTAACTATCAGTCCCTGGTTAATGGATGCAGTATCCCTCCAATGTCTGAGTGACAGTGTGTTTCTCATGTTGTATAATAGATATGCATCACCTGGCGTTTAGCAACACATGGGATTATAAAGGTATGAAAAAGGTTACAATTTAAAGAGCTTGTGAAATCAGATTTCAAAAATTATGTACCCTTGTTGTTTCCTATAACACATAATAGAGTAGACATTCACAGTTCATCCAGTTCATCCAGTTCATCCAGTTCGTCCAGTTCGTCCAGTTTGTCCAGTTCATCCAGCTTGTTCAGCTCGTCCAGTTCATCCAGTTTGTCCAGTTCGTCTAGTTGTCTACTTCATGCAGTTCGTCCATCTTCCATTGTCCAGTCTGTTCCATTCATCCAGCTTGTTCAGCTCGCTCAGTCTGGCGTTTATGATATTTCCTGGGGCTTAGCCTAGCTGTGTTTCCGCAGGTTAAGTTAGGGGCTACTACAATTATAGAACTGTTAATGAAAGAAATATTTAGCCTTATTCTAGGGGTGTGTATGCTTCGGGCACAAAGGCTCTTTCAGACCGCAAAATACTACCATTAAATTAAACCAGACTTGAAACAGACAAAGAGTGGTTATAGCCACTCTATATGTATAATTTTAGCTACTCTTTCATAGTAAGTACCCTTGCTCTGCCTTCTATCTCCTAATCTACAGAAAACCAAAGACATCAATATGAAGATTATTTATGAGGGTGGGTTGGATAGGTAGAGGATCAACCCATATCCAATCCACAACCAGTCTAGTGATACCTCTCTCCTCCGCGATCGTGCCTGCTAACAGATTCCAGATTCTAGATCTTCCTAATCTTAGAAGCTATATACCCAACTAGATTGCGTACACAGGTGGGAGGGCCTGTCTTCTTTGTGTCTGGGATACTCTTCTTATAGTATGTCACGTAGGCCCTGCGGTTCTACGTAGGCCCTGCAGTTCTACACATGACAGTTAGTAGCTGATGCATTCTTAGAATACAATTTCTCATAGGGCGTTATCCAAATCCATATGTTCTCTTCTACCTCCTACTCGCGGCGGTGTTGATTGGCTGATTGCACAGATATGCAACAATTCCAAGCAGTCATGGCCACACTTTCTCCGGCAGCTAGCAGTCATTTGCATCCTGCGGGCCATCTTGGCCGTCCGTCCAGCACACACATGTTTTATCATTGATATACGGGGTGGAAATACAGCAGCTCCATGCCTTGAAAGTCCGTCCTGCGGATATACTCAGTCCAGACTGTTCATTCATTGTCGGTGACCAGTTACTTAGTGATTTGCATCCTACGGGCCATCTTGACCCTTATTGAACTCGCTGAACTCATTGAACTCATACTCATTGAACTCATTGAACTAATTAAATGCGTCTAACTATAAGGTAGTAATAAGCAGTGTTATATAATCAAAATTCCGTACTTAAATGATAGTTCACTCTGGCTATTATGGTATGCAAAGTAGCTAAGAGAATAAAGACATTGTAAATACCTATAAAAAAAAATAATAAAAACAATTCCATCATAGCTGATAGCAGTCACTGAAGTTCCTCAGTGATTGAGGTTAATTTTCCTGTCCAGTCTAATGCCATAGCAGTACGTCCTTGAGCATCTTTAATAGCCTGATCATAATTCTCCTGTTTCAGCCATGATGCAATGCGTTTCGCCCGCCCCATAAAATTATCAATGATTTGTGTTTCTGGGGTATCAAACTGCTCAAGAACTGCCTTAATCAAGGCATGTGCCGGTGATCCAGCTTGCGTGGTATTCCCCTGGTTGATTATAGCTCCGGCCTGATGAAGTTGTTGGAGAAGTTCAAGGTCGAAATATCTCATCGCAAGGTGTAAGACTGAGTGCCCATTATCATCAACGGCCTGAAAGTTGCAGCCCTGTTCACGTAGTATGCGAAAAACCCTGAGTAGATCACCAGGGCGGAACTGGGGTGCCTGAGAGGCAAGATCAATGGCTCGGAGGAGCAACGGTCTCCCTTCAACATCTTGATATCCAGTATACACCGTCATATCGGTACCAGGAATGCCCTGAAGCCGTTGAAACAGGGTCTCCAAAAAAGTTGGGGCTGGGTTCTGAAGTGCAGCATCAAGCACAGTTATGAATGGGTCGTTATCACGAATCTGAGTAAGATCTGCGCCAAATTCGATGGCCTTGTCCAAAAAGTCCACAGATCCATAGCGGCATACAGTGATAAGGTGTGATCTATGCATTGTCCAGCGGCCTCTAGGACGTATACCACGATGGGGCTGCAGTGCATGAGCTGCCACCGCATGTCTTGCTAATCTCTCAAATTCTTCGAGTCCACCAGCCCTTATTGCAGCATCCAGGCAATTACCGGGTTTGCAGATTTCAAACAGCAAATAACCAATGGCAGTTTTGCGTTCCGGGCCTTCAAGGAGCCAGTTAAGGATATTCCTTGCTCGAAAGAGAATAGCAAGCCCAGGGAAAGTAATCCCTTGATAATTACCACCCTGGCGAGCCACTTCTGAAATATCTCTGTGTAGGGCTTGTGCTGCTAATTCCAGGAGTATGTTCAAAGAATCAAGGTCATCCTTGACCATAATTTGTGAGATCGGATCTTCAAGGAGAGGCTGGATTATCTTCAAAGAATCGAGGTCGTCCTTATCCATAGTTTGCGAGATCAGGTCTCCAAAGCGAGAAGGGTCGAAATTAACCGAGCGAAAGAATGTGACTGAGCGAAAGAAGGTTGACTGTTGAACTGCTGGTTGCTGAATGGCATCTCGGGTGAAGAAGATACAGCCTCGCAATCGTCTCTGTAGCGATAAACCCAAGTCAGGTGCGCGCTGGTCGCCTAGAGTTTGATAGAGCTTGATGAGCGCATATACATCACTGGACTGCGATATCTCCATAGCTCTAATCACAGTTTGTCAATATTGTGATGGGGCACCTTATAGGTTGCAGGTATGTAAAGAAGCAGCCTAAGACAGTATACTCACAGGAAGAAGATAATGAGGATGGTATGAAGTGGACACCCCCAGGAAGTGACCATCTATACAGGAGAGGCGGTAGATGGTCCCTTCCCGAGGGTGTCCATGGCACAGTAGGTAGATGAGAAGGGAAGAAAGGAGAGAGAGACAGAAAGGGAGGAGAAGGATCATTTTATAGGTAGTCTAGAGATCTGGTAGGCAGTAGTGGTATCATAGTAATAGTTATTAAAAAGTAAGGTTAAGGATTAGTATAGTGTACAAGGAAGATAAGCATTAAGGGAAGTGAGATTAAAGTTAGAACCTAAGCAGGATGTGAATAAGAAAGTGAGAGAGGGGTAAAAGAAAGTGAGAGATGGTTAAAAGATGAGGTGGTAGAGAAGTAAGGGTAAGGTTAGACTTTATCTCTGTTAGGATGAAAGTATCTTTAAAGATCCTAAAGTGAAGTCACGATAAAGAGTTCTTCAGACAACTATTATAGGCTCTGAAGTATGCATATAGGATCTCTTTTGTGGCCCGCCTAAGGGGCTGTAACCCCCGGATTCAAGCTGCAGGCAAAAGGAAGAGGGATTTTATACAAGAGGTTTTCTAGTTCCAATATCTGATCTGATGGGTCTTTATAGCCATGCGACTTCACCTGAGGCATAGGTTTGCCTACCTACTGGTTAGCACAGAGTTAGTAATTACACTAAATAAGGGCGCAGGGAAGTACTAGACAGGGAATAGATTATAATAAAGAGAGGTAAAAGATAAACAAAAGAGATGTAAAGCAGAAAGTAGCCTGTGAGGCTGCTCAAGCTGAAAAACCTCCCTTCTTTCCTTTGTCTGAAGAAAACCCTAATAAAGGATGCCTACTATATCACTCATTGCAACACCTCTTTATGTCTCACTGTGGTGTTATAATGTGTTTCTCTTTATGTAAGTCTTTGTTCACATAGCCCTTTTAGAACATCTCATTCACTGCGCAAGGTGAATGTTTGCGCAGTGAATGTTTGAGGCTAGCTAGATATTCACAGTTGTGCATCTCCTCATGCCAGGTTTCAGAGCCTCAACAATAATTCTGGGAGATATAAAAAGACCCCACAGCCAGCAATATAGTCTTAGCGACCCGGAGAAATTTTAGTAGCTTCCTTATATATATAATAGATTCTACATGCTCCTATATGCTTTTATATAGTAATGACTATCATCATATTATCATCAAACCTTTCTAGATTCTACAAACCACTGCCCTCCTCACCCCTACTGTCCAGTACTATCAGGTACATTCATGCACACCGCACTCCGCGCCATGCCATACCGCGTTACCTATCTCAACTGGGATTCCCTTTTATACATTGGCAGAGCCCATTCCCATTGGAATAGTCCGTTGGCTCACACACCATCGTGTCCCCAGACGCACAGGTATAAACATTCAAGCACTGCTGGACGTCATAGCACATCGCCGCATGAGGCGGGGCAGTTTTGGGAGGCGGGGCCCAGCAAGTGCACGCTCCGGATTCGCATTGAACGGCCCCGGGCTTGGGGCAGTTATCCTCGCATTCATCAGTAAGACGGCAGGGGCCTCCGATTGGGACGCTCGAGCTTTTGGGAGGCGTTGGAGTGGTGGTGGGGATGGTTTTGGTAGGGGTGGTGGTGGTGCGAGTGATGGTGCCGTCCCAGTCCTCGTAGTAGCGGCTGTCCGGGTTCTGCACGCTGTCCGGGTTGCGCGGGTCCAGGAAGTCCGGGTTCTGCTTGAGCGGGGTGCCAGGGCAGAAGAAGCCCGCGCAGCTGCTGCCACAGCCGGCGCCGGCGCAAGTCGGCTGGGGCGGGCCGGTGCGGAAGGTCAGGGGCGACGGCTGGGGCGGGAACGCGACGGGGCAGGACCCGCCGCTGCTCTGCCGTTTTGCTTTGGAGAAGTCGCTGCATTCGGGGACAATGGATCGGCCCCACTTCTGACCGTTCCAGACCACATTGTCGATATACCTCTGGTAGGGCCCTTCGGGGTGGTTGGGCTGCGGCTGCCGGCGGTATGCAAGGCGCAGAATCCTCTCCTTCACGCTGGCGGCGGTGGTCAAGGTGGAATCGAGGCCGCGGAAATATGCTGCCAGACCGGCGACCGTTGCGGAGGCGAAAGACGTCCCCTGGGTGGTGCGGTACTCTGTCGCGGACGCGGGGTCAGAGTCGGCCATCCGCAGACCGTAACCAGGCGCGTAGCAGGTAACCCAGTCCGCATTGGCGTGCTGGCCCAAAATGCCTTGTCCGAGAACCGACCCGACGACGATGAGCTCTGGGATATGGTTGGGGTTGGCGGGGTCTCCGAAAAGCGCCGGATAGCCGTTGGGAGAGCCAGGGGAGTTTCCGGAGCCCGTGACGAACACGGCGCCGAGTTTGATGATCTCTCGAATCAGTAAGGCTAGGCAAGAGGCAAGAATGGTCAGTCAAAGAGCACGGCGTCCTACTTGGGGATGGACAAGAAGAGACTTACCCATCTTCTCCAGAAATGCCGCCGTCAAATCGCCTTGGGGGATCGAGATGGAGAGGTTGACGACGCTCTTGGCCCCCCTCGCCCCGGTGGATATGTCGGCGTGCACCTTGGCGAGCGCGTCGAGCCAGTGCTCGTTAATGGACTTTTGAAAGTCCCACGCGGTCGCCACCACGGTCGCCTTGCGCGCGATGCCAACCGTCTTCCCCACCTCCTTGGAGAGACACAAGCTTCCGTGCCGCTTGGGGTCGTTTTCCATCCAGCCGCTCACGGGGTACGGCCCCGGAAGCAGCGGGTGGAGGAACGACACGTCGCTGAATTCTGGGTGCGAAGGCTGGGCGCCAAAGTCGACGTGGTACACATAAGTGCCCTCGCCCGCCGACGAGTCGAACCTATTACAGTCTGTATCAGTCACGGTCTCACACACACACACACACACACACACACACACACACAGGAGGAGAGGAACACAGCAGGGGAAAAAACAAACAAAAGAACAGCATACCTGTAATCTCCCTGGACTGGGACGGGACCGATATCAGGAGGCCAGGAAAGTGAGACCATGTTGTCAGGCGAATTCCGCTCGACAATCTCGCTGCGCTTGGCAAGAATGGACCGCTCTTGTAATTCACTTTCAGTGCTGTTCAAAGTGTCCATAAACCAATCATCGTCCCCAGCAGGTGGTCCGCTTTCCGAGGTCGGGTTACGGGCCACGCCCCAAAACCTGACCATCAGTTGGCCCTTGGGGATATAGGCGTCCGCGACCTGCGCGTGGCCCCGGATGGCGTCGGTCTGGTCGCTGGTGAAGGCCGGGACAAAGAAGAACATGGTGCCCAGCTGGTCCGTCCTGGACTCGAACAGATCCAACGCGGAGCCCCCAAGCTGCTGCTGCAGGGTGGTCCTGATGCCGTCGACGTTCCGCGGGTCGCGAGGGATAACCACGCGAGGAATGGCCGTGGCGGTGGTTGCGATTGCGGTCGTCGTCGTGATGTCGCTTGCGCCGCACCCCGTCACCTGGGTGCAGAAGGAGATGGTGGATGTCGTCGTGGTGACGGCCCGCTTGGTGAGCTTCCGGAACTCTTCGAAGGGGATCCGAGGCGCCCGTGTCGGGGCGGCCCCTTCGGCGGCCCGCTTGGCCACAATGCCATATGAGAGGGTCGTGGTGCACACGCTGGCTGTCGCTGTCTCGCAGCTGTCCTCCTCCGGGTCTGGCTTGTCCGGGTACGTGGGCTTGCGATCGGGGCCGATGCTAGAGGGAAGATCAAATAGAAGCGTCAGCAACGACACAGCGAAGTGGAGGTGAAGGAGAGATGAAGACCATGCATGGCTCGGGGATGTTGCCGGCCGACTTACGTGATTTGGGGCCAGGGAATTTTCAGTGTGAGTCCTGGGGGTGGGTTGGGTCCGACTGGCGGCGGGCCTCCCCTATATGAAAAGTTTAGCACGGCGGCAGCCAAAAGAAGGAAGGTATCGGCTTGTGCCGGGGGGAGTGACATACTCGGGGTAGATGCCCGGATTTTTGAAGCCGGGCAAGACGATGCCACCAACATTGGGGGGGCACGACCATATGAACCAGACCCAGCAGGGAATGACAGGAACAGGATCACCACCATCCACCTGGATCGCAGTGGGCTCTGGGAGCCAGTCCCTGACCCAACTTGCTGTTTCCGTGGGGAAAACGGTGGCGGGGAACGGCCCGGTAACAATAGGAACGACGACAGGGTCGCTAGTAGAGGTCGTCGTGGAAGTTCCGCTTGGATCTGGCATCGCACTAGGGCCACTCCATGGCCACGGAGGCGGACGGATGGTCCGGGCTACGGGCGCCGCTGTGATGTCGGCGACGGGAGTCGGCGTGATGACAAAGGGGGGCGGGCTGACACTCGCCGTCGGGATGATGATGGACGGGACGCCACCGTCGACTGTCGTGGTTAGGATCACCTCCGAGAAGCTGATGAGGTCCGTGGTCACCGGCGGGATGGAAATCTCAGTGGAGACGGTGACAGCAGTGTAGTGGGTCGTCACGGTGCCGTCAACCGTATCCGTTGTCATCCACCCGAACTCGAGAGATGTTTGCCAGGGGTCGAAGGAGATGGTGGTCGGACTGGCGAGGGAAGAGGGTGGGAGGACAAGGACACAGGGGGGCGCACACTGGGCCGTCGGCGCGGTCCAGACGGCGGGATCCAGGGTGACGGTGGGATACTTGTCCTGATTCCCGTCGTCGCCAATGGGTCGGCTGCCACAGATATCGGGGCAGTAGCCGTGTTCGCAGGCAAACTTGCAGAGGCCGTAGTCGTCCGTGGACGAGTCGAGGTAATATCCCGTCACGTTCGTCTTGGGCGGTGTCTGAACCAAGATGCCGGTCGAGGTACAGGTGCAAGCGTGGATGGGGCAGAAGCCAAGATGGCATCCAAAGTCGCAGAGGCCCTGGAAGGCGCCGGCGCCGGTGCCCCCCGTGCATGCGGGCGGCAGGAAAGGCGAGTAGCCCAGGACGACGCCGTCGTTGGGAGTCTGACCGCAAACCAAGTCCGGGCAGTACCCGTGGTTGCAGTCGAAACTACAGAGCCCCGCGAAGGAGCCGCTCTTCCCGGGGAGCGGATAGCCCGCCAGTCCCGTGTCGTTAGGGGCATTGGCGACGCCCTTCTTGAGGCAAGTACAGGCGGCGCTGGGGCAGCTAGATAGGGGTGGGTAGGTCACAATGTCAGTGATGTTGACTGATACACAAACGGGCCGGAAATCGTAGGGTCGGATCGGGGCAGTCATGTTAATGTACTTACTAGCCATTCGCACAGGCGAAGTCGCAGACGCCGATGAATTCAAGCACACCGAAACCCTTGACGCAATCCAACTTGGAAAGGTCGCCAGTGGTCGTGACCGGGGTGATAGGGGGACCCCTGGCACTCCCCACCCAAGGGTTGTAATTGTTGAGGCCTCCATTGCAGCTGCTGGTGATGGACGCCCCCGTGATGGTGGCAATGGTCGCGCCCCCTCTCTTCACCGTCACCACGACTTGACCGCTTGCCGTCCCGATCGGGACGCTGCCGTGGTAAACACCAACGCCCCCGTGGGGTTCCTGGTCCCATCCGCCGGCCTGAACCACGCCGCCGATGCTGACTTGGACCTGGGCGTTGCTTGTGAGGAGCACGTCGTAAAAGACCCTGTCCTCCATCATGGCGTTGGGCGAGTACTCGAACTGCAGCTGGTTCGCCGTGTTGCCGGTGGTGCCGCCGTCGGAACAGGCCCCGTTCTTGTTGACTCGGTACCATGCCACGAGGCGCTCTTCCGTGACGGTGGCGGTTCCGGACTTGTACATGGAGATGTAGTACGGGAGCGTCTCGCGCCAGCCGTCGTGGGGCATGTCCTTGACGTAGTTGAAAGGAGCACGGCCAATGTCGAAAGCCTCGTACTGGCGGTCGTCCAGGGGGCCGATATAGTGCGACTCGCCGTAGTCATTCCACGAAATGATCTCGATGAAGTCGGGCTGGCGGTCGAGGGAGATGGCCTGCTGCCAGCGCTGGAACCACATGTCGTCGCCGCGCCATAGCCAATTCTTCTCGTAGCCGGGCAGGTTGGTGTAGAACCACGGGGAGATAGGCATCATGTACGGCTTCGAACCCAAAAAGTCGTAGTACGAGGCGTCGGGATAGGTTGTCATGTTGGCCGGCCCCTTCGGCCAGGCGTCCCAGCTGAAGAGACCGTCGGCAATGCCGTCGCCCAGGTGGACGGCTGGCTGGGCACCGACAGATGACCAGTCGGGCATGAAGAAACAGTTGGTCTCCTTCTTGATATCCTTCCAGTCGTCGGCATTATTGGGACCCTCGAAGGTTGAGACGAATGGCTTCCCGGCCGTCTTGAAGTAGGTGTCTTTGGCGCCGTATCCCTTGATCATGTCGATGACGACAGACTTGTCCCAGGGGCCATTGCCGGCGTAGTCGAATGAAAAGAGGAGCTGAAAGCCAATGTCATCGGCCGCGGTGAAGGCCATGGGCAGGGCAATGTCGTTGGTGGGGTCCTTGTTGGCCATGTTCAGCACAAAGGCATCTATGCCTGCAGCTTGGGCGGCCTGCATCTCATGTCTCCAGTCGATCAAGCCAAGGGACTTGGTGTTGCCCACCTGCGCGGCGTCCGGTGTCGTTAGTCAACCCCTGGGGCGGACAGGGAGTGAGATGTGACTTACCATATAGTGAGCAAACACGGCCTTGGCTTCGACAAGGCTCACGCCCCATGCCAACGCCGAAGCGAGGGCAGCCAGCAGCTTCATGGTGACTTGGTCTGACTGTGGGAAGCAGCCGGGCTGGAAGGATGTGCAAGCATATGAACCGAGCCTGCGGGAAAAGAACGACCTCCTACCTCCTTCTTATACCTGAAGCTACCTACCCATCACCCGAAAGCCCACATGGCAGGGGGCACACTCCGGCCTGAGGTGCTCCGCCCGGAGATTATCTAAACCATAGAGCGCAAGTGGCCGGGGCGTCCACAGCCCAATTTCCTCAGTGCTTATGACTACAGAGTAGTCCTCTTCCACAGAACTAATATCGGCAAAATAGTGGCGGCAATTTGGAATTCTGACACCTCCTGCGCCGCAACTTAGTTTATTTAGTAACTTTCTAGAACGAACAGAAAGCACAGCTTCTTGCCGGCCGGCCGATTGTGAAAACTGACCATTCGCTATGAAGGGCACTTATGAAGGGCATCAATAGTTTAGCGACCTTCCTCGTTGGTACACCCAGGCACTGGCAGCCTCTGCATGACTCATTCGGAGCCATTCGGAGCCGTTCGGCCGTTCCCTCGAACGGTCGAACCCGTGGGACGCTATCAAAACGTGTCTAAGCGATGCTTAGCTGCTGGTCAGGAACTATCGAGGCAATTTCAAACAGACTCGGTGTGGGAGCAAATGGCATTGGCGACGAGGGCGGCTGCCCCGGCCGCTCTAAATGAGGCTACTGCAGATGGTCCCCCGTTGTCACATCCCCAGTGCAACGTTGAGCGGCCTGTTTACCGTAGTAAAAACAAACTAGAGAAGAAGGAGAGGTAACTAGCGATGTCTGGAGACTAGACTAGAGAAAGTCCTGAGAAAAATGAGGAAGAGGACTGAGTAGTTGTGATGGGGACTGAACTAGAAGTCCAGGCAGGTACCACCAAGCAGTCTAACTAGATATAATCTAGTATGAGAGGCTACGAGGTAACCGTTCTTTAAGCCTCCACACTAGGTTTAATTAGTACTAGTGAGGTTGTATCGCTAAGAAAAGGGACCAAGAAAGGGCCTAGACAAATGGGCTCACTTGTTGTAGTAGTAGGTGACCGGTGCTGTGAACCTCGCATGACACTCGCCTGCTCACAGCTCACGCGCAACTAGTGAGTGGCCAAGGCGCCATTCATCCTTCGCGCTGGAACTAGTTTCAGATTCCAAATAATGTTGACTGTTGTGTTTTCCTCGGACGGTGGACCGAGGGAAAAGCACATGCAAAGACCTTGATCAGGCCAGCGCTAAATCATCGAAATATCTATGATTGGTGTTCCTGAGGGTCTGGATTCTTGGCAGTAAGGCAACAACTCCTCGCTAGGCTGGATTGGGAAGGCACCACCATGCTAGTGTACTTCCTTGCTTTTTAATGGCCAGGTATCACGTGATTATTAATGAGTGGAGATTGCTGATAGGCTGCCGGCCCGGCGGGCCGTGGGATATCCATGCCTTAGGCTGCATCCACTCCGGCGGGGTGGGTGCGAGCCTGAGGCACGGATACGCAGGACACCTGGCCCCCCTTCAACCATTAATATTGACTATCATGGAGCATCTCGGTCAGTCAATTCTGACAAGTTTTGCCTCGGTTCCAGATATATTCCGAGTATTGCTCGTATCCACTCACCTTGCCCACCTTACCCACCCGTCACCCATGCTGTCTCGCGCCAGAATCATTTTCCGCAAGCTCCGTGGTAGTGGCAGCCGTGGCAGCGAGCCCGCGCCATCAGCGCCGGCCATGACGGCAGGGAGTGAAACGGACGACCCACCCCCTCGCGCCCTCCATATCAGCGACTGGAGGCGGTCAGCCCCCGAGCAACGCTACCACGGTCAACAGCGCATGGAAATTATTGTCGTGAATGCCAAAGGCTCCGCCGATGGCTCTCGTCTTGACGAAGTAAGTGCCCAGTGTAATAAGCTCTGAGAACCCCCAGCTGAGCTTACCCTACGTGGTTCATTAGCTACTGGGGAGAGAGAAGGATCCTTGGCGCGAGTTCGACGTTACATTGGACGACTCTGGCACAGATTTCGTTTGTAATGGTTACCTCTTCGCTGTCCACTTCACCTCGGCCAGCGGTCGGGGGTCTTATTCAGCGATGCTCTCCCTCTATCAGCATATCCCCCTCATCTTCACATATGATGCTTCATCAAGGGAATCATGGGACGAAATGGTCACCGAGTATGAGGGGATGCGCAGCCGCTGCAAAGATGGGGTCCACCCCTTTCTTACAATAATGATTGCCGCTATGGGTGAAGGTGAAGCCCTCATGGACGCGGAAGCTAAGGCGTTTGCAGCCCAGCGGGACTGTCTCTTTGTCAAGGTCTCACCCAGAACTGGGCGCGGCATGTGCGATGCAGTCTGCTCACTAGTTGAGCTGGCGTACGGCGCTCGTGATCAATATACTACGGATCAGGAGGACTCTCCCCAGAGGTTAAAGAGGGCGAACGCAATTGCGGCATTATTCCCACCTAGGGATGTCTAGCTCAGAAAAAGACTGCATAGGACCGGTGCGTTCAGGTGGGTGAGAGAATGGCCAGGAGATTAGGCGCTGCTAAATATATTCAGTGCTCTGCTCAGAATTAATGCAATGTGAAGGAGGTCTTACAAGCAGTAGACGGTTCTCAGACTTGCGACACATCCAGTGTATTCTTGAAGGCACTCACGGACTGATCATACTTGCTTGGACCAGGAATCTGTGTTCCCCAAGAGCAAATGTCTACTCCAAAGGAGAAGAGCACAGGCGTAATTTTCCAAAAGATTATGCTTTTAGGAGGGACGTGCTGGATCGTCGAAGTCATATGAGTTCCACTCGTTTAATTATTTAACTATTGGGCTACCAGCAATCTTGTGCAACCTTCATCCTCAAAAGCCAGCACAGACGTACATGCAGATATTGACGGTGCTGCAGCACCTTGTTTAGTCCTCGACCAGGCACAAGAGGTGTACCACCCAAAACGCCATAAAGCTCGCCGACAACTTAGACGTCCCCAGTAGCCAGGAATCCTTCGTGACACGATTAAATGTCGTTGTTTCCATCAGAGATACATCCATCGAAAGGTAGGCCGACACCACAGTAAGCATCCTCGCTAAAGTTGCTGACCTTGCCCAGCTTCAACCACCCATTCCAAGTGCCGCCTTGATCCAGACGCAAACACTGTATTTCGCAGACTGTCCCATTCTCCGCAATCCGAATGTACTCCGCGACGGCACCTTGTATCGCACTTTCCTGGGCCGTCGTATTGCACTGGCCAGTAGCATTGAATGACCACTTGACATTATCGAAGCTGCCGGTGATACGTCGACAACTGGGCTGATCGAAAAAGCCATTGACGATGCGTGAAAACCCTAGTAACGGTATCGTGCGCGGAGTCCACGTTTGCCATACTAATTACAGGTGACCATAAGGTCTAGTGAGCGCAGAGTCCATGTTGATTCCCATCCACTCCAGAGTCCACAGGTCCCCACTGTCCCGCCTTGGCAGAGTCTATGTCTTGCTCCTGGAGTCCACATTTCCCCCTAAACCTTTTTTTTTTTATCTATTTTTCTTTTCCCCTCCGCTGACTCTCCCCGAGCCACCAACCATCATGTAGTAGAGGTTTGATTTTAATCAAGTCTTAATACTATTACTATTACTATATGTATATATATTAGAGTTAAATGTCTGTAAGAGGTTTTGCAGTCATCTATAATTTATAATTTATAATTCATAATAATAATTAATTAACTCCTTATCCTAGTAATCTATCCTATATTAAATTACATTCCATTCTCTGGTATAGTTTACTTCCTAGTTATTTATCCCATCTCTCTCCAGAGAGTCAATCCTCCTGAAGTTAAGTTATAGTGTGCCCTTGAAATCATATCTCTAATCAAGGGGGACAGTGGCTAAAGTAATTATAGATACCTCTCTCCTATAGTCTAGTATCCTATGGTCGCGCCTTAGGTAAAGCTGTCTATTAAGTTAATCCACTATCTACTCCTACATAGAATATAATGATTAAGTATTTAAGTATAATCAGGATCATCATAGTAGAGGAAGAACCTAGCTGATTAAATCATAAGATGTGTAAGGTATGATATAGTTAAGGGGGATCTTGCTTATATTTTATTTAAAGCTAGTGCTTTCACTATAGAGGGAGAGTATAGGAATATATATTTCTAAAGATTAATACTATTAATAAATTTTTATTCCGCGACCCCCCACCATAGGGCGCGTAAGTTAACTATTTAAGGGCTAGTGGTAAATATTTCCTTATAATAAACCAGGCTCTGCCTACAAAAGCAAAGATCTATCTAGAGAGAGAGAAATAAGAAATAATAAACTAGGGTATTCATACTGTGTTCTAAAAATCATCACTGCTCATCTACTCATTATTTATATATACTCATTAATAATTAAAGCCCTGAGGCCAATGGCACTGAGAGAAAGAAAGAAAAAGGCTAGTAGTTAGTCTATAAAGCCTTATAGTTATAAGGTAGTTAAGTAATAAAGAATACAGCAGATAAAGGCTGTGTAAAAAGGCTGCCAAGGCTTCTATGGTGGTAGTATAGTCAACAAAGATAAAAGGGAGGCAAGAAAAAAAGCTATACAGAAGGGCCCTAATACTCCCATCCATGGTGGGGTAGTGGTAGTGTAGTTACTAAAGATAAAACAGGGGCAAGAAGAAAGCTGTGTAGAAGGCCCCTGATGCTCCCATGGTGGTAGTATCATTAACTAATAAAGATAAAATGGGGCAAAAAGCTATGTAGAGTGATTTATAGCCCTTTTAGTGCTGGCTAAAAAGTAAGGGCTGCGCCCCTAATTAGAACTTATACTAAGCAGGCTTTCACTGGCGCCTGGGGTGCTTAGCTGCTACTATTAGTGCTAGAGCATCATCAGTCCTGGCTAGAGAGAGCAGTGCATGGGCAGAAAGTAAAGGAAAAGAGAGAAGAGAACTTACTAGATAGTGCCTTATATTTCTATTAAGTCCCCTGCTAACCCTGCTGGCTGGGTAGTGGTGCAGTAACTTAGGGAGGTATTCTAGGGCCAGACTAGCTAGGAGGAGTATTAGTCTAGTAGAGGGAAGGTAATAGGTAGTAGGGCCTATTTAGGCTACTAGGGGAGCTTAGTAGGGAGCTTAGTAGTAACATCTCTCTAGATAATACTAGTAGATTTAGATTTAACTAACTTAGTGGTGATGTGCTTAGAATAACTCCCCAGCTTATCTAGAGCAGAGATCTTAGTTATATTACCTAACCCTAGAAATCCACTATTAGAGCCTAAATCTATATAAAGGGGGAAGGGTTCAAGGGGGCATACTAGGTCTAACTATAATAATACCTCTATCTCCTTATCCTAGGCAGTAACTTAGACCTTCTTTAAGTACTTTAGTGCGGCTTCATATTCCTCTAGGCTTAGGTCCACCCATACTAGATAATAATCACTGCTACTAGGGCCGTCACCATCATCATTATTATTATACTTATCACTACCATCGCCATCACTCAAGCTAGGCTGACCATCCTTACTACCAGGGCCATCACCATCATTATTATTATTATTATTATTATTATCATTAGGATGGCAGGAGTAATTATATCTAGAAGAATTAGACCTGCTTTAGCTTCTACTATTATCCTCCTTACTATTGGACCGCATATATTCATCTAACTTAAACTATCCTAACTATTAGCCTTAAGCTCAGAGATAGACTAGGGTTTTTAGTCCTAGCTAAGTACCTACTAGTCTTAGCCGCGACTGAAAAGTGCCTGAAGAGAGGGGAGGATGGTAGGTAGAGGAGGGGATAGGAGTATATTACCTTAGTAGCTACTATAGCCTTATTATGCCTCTACTGGGCAGGGCCCTTACTTAGTAAGGCCTGCCTGACCCTTTCCTAGGTGTGGTCTTTGGGAGTTAACTTCACTTATATATAGTTAATATCTCACTATAGGAGACTAAGGTCACCTAGGTTATTAATACTAAGCTAACTAGCTTACTAGCTAAGCATGCAGAGAAGGTAATCCTCTACTACCTGCTAAATAACCCTAGCCTCCCTAGCCTCCTATACGTCCTTATTAGCCTTATATATGTCCTTATTAGCCTTATCTGCATCTATTATCACCGCCACCATCACCAGGGGCTTAAGAAGGTCATAGAGGGATATAGCTAGCTAAGGAAGGGCCTTCACTATATTATTATACTCTACCTATCTTAAGATTATATACTCCTAGAATAGTATCTAGGCCTTCTATAGTGTACCCTATCCTAGGTGGTGGACCCGCCCCACCACCTAGAACAGGGTGTTTAGATTATACAGGGGCTCTAGAAGCACTACTTAACTATATTAAGTATATAGGTTTAGGCTATATGCCCTATACTAGTAAGATGTTAGCAGCATATAGCAGTCACTATTAGCTTAAGTAAACTATTCAGCCACATCCTGTCGGGCGGCGTCATTCATGGAGGCCTAGATAGTGAGGTATTTTACACTAATAGTATCTAGAAATATTTTAACTAGTTATATAATTATAGGCTAATGGGCAAAGAGTAAAAAATATAGTACTAGTATATCCCTAGTAGTAAAGAGACCTTCCAGATAAAAGATACATAGTAGGTAGTATAACTTTACTACATCTACTATGAGATAATATGCCTTCCCTAGCTAGTTTATTAGTATTATATTTCAGGCCCCTTTGCTTATCTGCTACTAGAAATTAGAGAAGCTATAATCACTGTATTTAATACTCTTATTAATAGCTATCACTATTATATTAGATTAATTATTAGCTTACTAGTAGTACTCATTAAGTGTCATACTGAAGGATAAGTAGCAGAGGAGGCGCATGATGTGCTAGTTAAGGTAACCTATACTATTACTACCTAGGCCACCTATATTATATACCTCCTCTGCTAAGCCACTGCGTCCCTTCTTTATCTTAGATAGGAGCTTTATAAAACATGTGTTATAGTCTTTACATAATCACAGCAGGTGCTATAGGTTAATCATCATGATCTATAGGGCAGGGATATCATCACCTATAAGGGCCCCTTGCATATTAACCCTATTAATAGGGTCACCTATATCATGTTACAGGCAGGTCATGCGCATGATTAGAGGGAGCACCCAGAATGCATCCCTTAGTATAAGATAGCTAAGCTAGAAAAGGCTAATAAATACCTTAGGTTACAATAGGTGGTAGGGGGGTGGGGTTAGGAGCACTGCCTAGCTAGTAAATTACTTATATTCTGCAAACTAGTCTATATTACCTTTATTACTACTATTGTTAATAGCACTAGCACGCTTTATGCTTAAGTACAGAATAGCCAGATAGCCTGACATATCAAAAGCCCTATTATACAATAGTGTTGCTGTAAGAAACCAGATGTGTTCTGCTTCAAGCTGGCTAACTAACTAGTGTACGCGCGTCTAGATGGTCTTAGCTATATAGCCCTCATCATCATCACAGACCACATAGCCAAACCACCCGGATATTAATGTCTTAAAGTGCTTGCCTAGGTGCACCTTTTAGCCAGAGCTAACCTTATCCTCTACCCTACTATTCTCCTTATCACCTTGCAGCTCCATGAGTTGCTTAATAATGCAGGCATTCTTATCAGCACTATCAGTGTTATCTACCCTATCTACCTAGCTGTTAGCACTCTTACCCTTTATATTAACTTCCTGCATTATTCACCCTGACCAAGTAGTATAAAAGGAAAGCATAATAGTGCGTGTTATAGTGATATTAATAATATCTAAGGACTATAGTCTCTTCTTTAGATTACTCAGGGTGTTAACTATGAGTTACTTCTATAGATAGTCTAATATATGGACTAAGCTCCCCTAGAATAGGAGGATGATGAAGCTATCCCCTAGGTGTGCTTAGAGCTCTGTCAGCTATATACTAATTAGGGCACTCAGGCAGAGGATTAATATAGATCTATATGTATATATGGGGTCCTTATCAGCAGTAAGGGATATATACTATAGCATTATAATTAAAGTCATGGTCTTGCCTATCCTATAGGCATCTACTAGAATCCTACTACTGATAGGGCTCTTCTCTTAGCTAAGTATCTAGGCCGCCTCTATCACCTGCTATGGCTTGAGCTGCATGCCATCCTAATGCATGTTACTAGGCATGATAAGGAGCAGGGCTACTAGGTTAAGGGCTAGGATGTTGTAGGCATCTGTGTAGGTAGGTAGTTTAGTAGAAAGTAATATCTATCCCCTTACTATGGTCCAGAAGGTTTTATCTAGTATAGGGAGAGTTAGATTAGCACTATTAGGGGGATTATTAGTATTAATAGTGACTATCTTAGGCTCTGCACTAGACTTACTAGTAGCTTTATTAGCTATAACTAT